TCGATAGTAGAGAATAATTAAACTCACGATCTAATGGATAAAATTACCTTTAAAAAATCCACCCGATTTACCAATAAACTTTCAAAACTCTTGATATAATAGATTTTTATGATACACTATAGAGTCCCTGTATATTCTTGAATGTTTGGATGGTGAAGATCTTTAAATTTTTCAAATAGAATGCGGAAAATTTAATCTTATTTGTCCGAATTTAATAGGCTGTAATCTAGAGTCATATTGAGAATCCAGGTTCTCGGATTTATAGTCGTCGAATATTGCATTAGCAAAATATACAATTATATACTAGCACAATAAAATTTTAAATACAATAATATACGTAATAGGAAACTAATCTCCTAGCGGAGAGTCGCCGGTAAGAGGTTACAAAAAAAAACTTGGACACAAATTCCCAATTTCACACTCTAAAAGATTTCATTAGACGAAAAAAAGGGGGTATTTGGCAAAGCTCGAGTATTGTAACAAGATCGAAAAAGTATCATGCATATACAAAATGTGTATGCATAATACCCTCTTGTATAAGATAACATTGACTTCTTCATACTATTCAATTCATCCTTGTCACAATACCCATTCGTCATAAATACCCCTTTTTACCTCACTTATACTGCATGATTTATTTTAATATAGTTCTCTAATAATGATTGAAATATTAAATAAGGTTTGAAGAAAGGCGAAATAGTTGGCAAATTTTTTCCAATTACATTTCAATGAATTTATGGAATCCTTGCTTTCGTTATACGTGCTTTCTCTTCCATTTATGTAGCAAGTACAACTTGAACTTTTCTTAAACAGAACAGATTATATAATAATCTAACAAAATAGGCAGAACATTGATTTATACAATTTTTGAGGATCATATGAAAGTAGCACGGTCTATAAGTTTATAACAATATATGTTTTTTTAAAAGAGCTGGCGTTTAGATATCTCCATGAACAGAAAAAAAAGGCTTACTAATGGAATATCTTGCAAGACAATAAAAAAAGGAGTAAAAAGGCCACTCATTTATTATTTTAAACAATGTTTAATGAAACGAAAGGCCTCAATTGGATTTATATTATTTCAACATTATAAAGCAATGGAACCTTGTTCGTAATTGAAGCATCTTTGTATCCATACAATTGAATCGTCTCCATCACAACAAATACATGGAAATTCCTTGAAATAAAAAATTCATATATATGGTCCCGCATACGTAGTACATGTGAAACTAAATTATATGTATATTGCGTAATAATTCAATTCTATATGTACATGTACACGTTAAACCTACACACAAGGTATACATACACGGATACAGTATCTGAGCCTCGGCAAAGAACAAGTTTGAATCCCGAATATACTTCCTGATATATGTATTTAAAAAATTCTGCAGGAAATTGTGTGTTTAGAATATAACCTGTTAATTCGGCCAAATTTTCTAATTCAAATACATAATAGGAAAGATATAGAAGATCAATAGCAGGAAGCTATTTCCTTTCGTAGAAAAGATCAAAACTTAAAAAAAATTTTAAATACATGTATCGATTTTTTTTACTGCAGTATTTTTTGAATCACAGTATATGCTAAATTATTTAATGACGCTTTTTACTATTTTAATATTTAGGTATGGGTCACCTTAACAAACAAAGGATGAATATCCGATTAAGTATACAAAGACGACGTAGTTTCCAATATTCAACAACAAATTAAAAATTTTGAGTGAAACCTTATCTTTAGATTTTTTATTTATGCATGTAAATACAGCATATATTAAAATTATATACTTCCCATATACTTAAACCTAAAGATTGTTGTCATTGCAGATATATTAGGTAAGTTCACTTGGGGAATTATATCCGAACGATAGTTCACAATCGAGATATGTTTGGTACCAATTATTGACTTGAAAAAGAATTGAGATACGTGTGATAACCAATTGGTGACTTGCAGTCTCTGATATGACTCGAAAATGCAATAATTTTCGAGTAGCACAGCTATCTCTAAATCCTCACTTATCTTTTTATGTGAATATGCAGTTCGATTTCACTTATCTTTATTTTATCCCGTTATCTTTCTATTAGACGGGATCCATTGTAATCATTTATTTGGTTTAGTTAAAGCATCGGTTCGCGTATCCTTTTCACCGAGATAATCTAAAACTAGCTAGCAAGCACCTCTCATTTGTTGAATACTTATTTTGTTATCATTTTAAACATATGTTTACATAAAAGAGGTTTGTTCAATCACGTTTCAACAGGTTTTACGCCATATACGTATCTTTTGTGCCCGTAGGATATTACTAAATCTTGCTACTTAATCTTTCTTGCCTCAATAAAAATACGAAACAGAAAATTGTGTTATACTATGATTAACACACATTCGATTGAGTTTTATTTGCTATACAAAGATCTCAATCGGTTTCAAAATTTGAAATTCGACTAGATTATTGTTTTCCAAATATACCTTATTATTTTTCTGGTTCATTCTCACAGTGGTTACCTGTAGTATCACTAATATGATGTCAAATACATGAGGAAATGATTCCATTGTTATAAACTTTAAAAAAAAATTGGAATTTACCGGTAATTAACGTGTGTGACCGTAAGAATCCATCAACATCTTCTGACCGTTGCATGAAACTATAATGCACCCCAGAATAAATAGGGCTGCATCATTATACATGTACTGGTACATGTATTTCTTTTTCGGCAACGGTTATGACAAAATGAAAATTTCCGAAAAAAAATTCACAAGGTTTCATTGGTTCAAAAGAAATTTGCTATGCTTATCCGTGCAAAAAACGAGTTTAATTGCTCGAAATTGGTTCAAACTTTCTAGATACTATTGTTTAGAAAATTATATTCGGAGCATTTGAGTCAAACAATAAGTAACAAATACCAAAGTTTAAAGAGAGAAGAATGCAAATTTTCGCACAATGAATATCTATTTTTATGTGACTTCTCGAAAAGGTGTAATAAAAACTTTCTTGCTTTGTGTTTTTAAAGTTAAAATTTCCGCATCCTATGCAGCAGCGGAATTTTCTCGCGTTTTTTAACGGATGCATTATGTCAAATTTAAAAATATGTTGTGAAAAATAAAACGTATTCTTTGGTTAAGTGAGATATTCAGTCAATACTAACTAATGTCACTTTTGAATTTTCTATTTAAATAGAGTTATCCAACACGCAAAACAATTTTTCCTTATGATTCGATATCATTCGTTAATAATTCCCACTCTCACATTCGTTATTTTCGTGACCTTTTTCGATTTTCGTATTAATATTAATAATCATAAAAATGGGATTGTCTTCATTTTTCTCTAATCTCATATTTCATTTACGCAAATTAAATTCATCCTCACAATCCACTCTTACTCTCAACGATACCAGCAATCCCAATTCATCAAACAATAAGCGAGCAGAATCACCAACAAGTACCCAACCGATTCCCAAAATAACCATTCAACTTAACACTAACCTCGTCAAATTCAAATACCAACTTCCAAATACCAAAAATTCATTCGCAATCAATTTATGCCACCTTCCAGAAGATGTTTTTCAGGAAATCGCCGAGTTTTTAGATTTGCTATCTTTACTAGCTCTTCGATCGACATGTCGCACTCTGTATTATATATTTCCTGACAAAAAAATTTTCTCTAAGATTTTCTTCTCCCTAACAACCGACAAGCAACTCCAATCACTCTTCATTTACTTGCAGTCTACTGAATCACTTAAATTTGTCCAGCAATTCACGGTTTATAAATCTCCGATCACACATGAAAGCGTAATTTCAATTCTAAAAAATTGCGAGAACCTTCAACAAATTAACATCGTCGGAGGAAGAGATGTAGCCCCCAGAAAAGTCACCAAAGCTCTGGTTAAATGGAAACAAGATGGATCTGGTGATTCGCCAAACCTTGCGTCTCTCAAGCGCATACTAATGACCAGATGTGTAGGTGGTAACAAGCGCCACAATTATAAAGCACAAAAAATGGATAACGACATGAAAGAACTCGATCATGAGATCTTCCAACTCGTAGACTGTGATGAATTGAATTGTAAAGAATGCACAAAATATTGTCAGAACTGTAAAATAAAATATAAATATTGGGATCGGTTTTGGATCTTGTGCGAACGGTGTAGAAAAAGTAGTTTTTGCGGTGATTGTGTTCTTAAAATTAACCAAACTAGCACCCATCTCGAGTCTGGGCTCTTCCCTATGAGAATCAGTATGTGCGAAAATTTTATACCGCATTGCAATTAATTATATATAAAACGATTAAAAATGATTAATAAAAAATTTAACTAATAATAGCAGAAAATTATATTAAAAAATAATAAAAAAATATCATTAAAATAGCTAAAAAATCGCTAGAAAAAAAAATAATATATGACCAATCGACTCTATAAGATGTAATTATTGTCAACCTTTTTAATTAACAATTAATTTAATATAATTCATTTCTTTAATAATAAATGCAAAAAATCAATTATCTTGATACGACACTATTACAAGTGGAATCTCATGATTTGAATAATGATACCAACTTCTTTCAATCCAAAAACACGTAAATGCATAAATCCATCCATAAGTAGATGGGCGCCATCTAACATCTCGACACCCATCTTCCCAACAACCTAACATCCCGACAATCCAATTTCCCGACAACCCAACTTCCCGACAACCTAGCATCCCGACAATCCAACTTCTCAAAATTTAAACCCAACTCTTCCCAACTTCCCGAAAAAGCTAGGTCAATTTTTGGTTTATGCTAGAAATTGGGTTGGCGGGAAGGTGGATATGTCGGGATGTTAGGTTGTCGGGATAGATTTCGTAATGTTAGGGCTGTCGGGAAGTTGAATTGTCGGGATATCGAACTGTTGGATTTCTGGATGTTGGGGGTAGACCCTAAGTAGATACATCTTAAATAATGGTATCATCATTTTTTACAGCACCTATCATTTATAATTGAT